TCCTACATCACTCCCCATCACTCCCACATCACTCCCCATCACTCCTACATCACTCCCCATCACCCCTACATCACTCCCCATCACTCCCCATCACTCCTACATCACTCCCCATCACGCCTCAATCACTCCCCATCACTCCTACATCACTCCCCATCACTCCTACATCACTCCCCATCACTCCTACATCACTCCCCATCACTCCTACATCATTCCTCATCACTCCCCATCACTCTCCATCACTACTACATCACTCCCCATCACTCCTACATCACTCCCCATCACTCCTACATTACTCCTCATCACTCCCCATCACTCTCCATCACTACTACATCACTCCCCATCACTCCCTATCACTCCTACATCACTCCCCATCACTCCTACAGCACTCCCCATCACTCCTACATCACTCCACATCATTCCCCATAACTCCTACATCACTCCCCATCACTCCTACATCACTCCCATCACCCCTACATCACTCCCCATCACTCGCCATCACTGCTACATCACTCCCCATAACTCCTACATCACTCCCCATCACTCCTACATCACTCCCCATCACTCCTACATCACTCCCCATCACCCCTACATCACTCCCCATCACCCCTACATCACTCTCCATCACTCCCCATCACTCCTACTTCACTCCCCATCACTCCTCAATCACTCCCCATCACCCCTACATCACTTCCATCACCCCTGCATCACTTCCCATCACCCCTACATCACTCCCATCGCCCCTACATCACTCCCATCACCCATACATCGCTCCCATCACTATTACATCACTGCTACCCTACATCACTCCCATCACCCCTACATCACTCCCCTCACCCCTACATCACTCCCCATCACTCCTACATCACTCCCCATCACCCCTACATCACTACCAATCACTTTTACATCACTGCTACCCTACATCATTTCCATCACTCCTACATCACCTCTACATCACTCCCCTTAACTCAAACATCATCTCTACAAACTCCCACATCACTCATAAGGGCCCCACATCACTCATACATCACCTCTACAGACCCTACATCACTCCTACATCACTCCTACAGACCCTACATCACTCCTACAGACCCTGCATCACTCTCCATCACTCCTACAGACCCTACATCACTCCTCCATCAATACTACAGACCCTACATCACTCCTACAGACCCTACATCACTCCTCCATCACTCCTACAGACCATACATCACTCCTCCATCAATACTACAGACCCTACATCACTCCTACAGACCCTACATCACTCCTCCATCACTCCTACAGACCCTACATCACTCCTCCATCACTCCTACAGACCCTACATCACTCCTCCATCACTCCTACAGACCCTACATCACTCCTACAGACCCTACATCACTCCTCCATCACTCCTACAGACCCTACATCACTCCTCCATCACTTCTACAGACCCTACAACACTCCTCCATCACTCCTACAGACCCTACATCACTCCTCTATCACTACTACTGACCCTACATCACTCCTCCATCACTCCTACAGACCCTACATCACTCCTACATCACTCCTACAGACCCTACATCACTCCTCCATCACTCCTACAGACCCCACATCACTCCTACAGACCCTGCATCACTCCTACATCACTCCTACAGACCCTACATCACTCCTACAGACCCCACATCACTCCTCCATCACTCCTACAGACCCCACATCACTCATACATCACTCCTACAGACCCTACATCACTCCTCCATCACTCCTACAGACCCCACATCACTCCTACAGACCCTACATCACTCCTACATCATTCCTCCAGACCCTACATCACTCCTACATCACTCCTACAGACCCCACATCACTCCTCCATCACTCCTACAGACCCCACATCACTCCTACATCACTCCTACAGACCCTACATCACCTCTACTGACCCCCACATCACTCCTACATCACTCCTACAGACCACACATCACTCCTACATCACTCCTCCATCACTCCTACAGACTCTAAATCACTCCTCCATCACTCATACTGACCCTACATCACTCCTCCATCACTCCTACAGACCCTACATCACTCCTCCATCACTCCTACAGACCCTACATCACTCCTCTATCACTACTACTGACACTACATCACTCCTCCATCACTCCTACAGACCCTACATCACTCCTACATCACTCCTACAGACCCTACATCACTCCTCCATCACTCCTACAGACCCCACATCACTCCTACAGACCCTACATCACTCCTACATCACTCCTACAGACCCCACATCACTCCTCCATCACTCCTACAGACGCCACATCACTCCTACATCACTCCTACAGACCCTACATCACATCTACTGACCCCCACATCACTCCTACATCACTCCTACAGACCCTACATCACTCCTACATCACTCCTACAGACCATACATCACTCCTACAGACCCTACATCACTCTCCATCACTCCTACAGACCCTACATCACTCCTCCATCACTACTACAGACCCTACATCACTCCTACAGACCCTACATCACTCCTCCATCACTCCTACAGACCCTACATCACTCCTCCATCACTCCTACAGACCCTACATCACTCCTCCACTACTACAGACCCTACATCACTCCTACAGACCCTACATCACTCCTCCATCACTCCTACAGACCCTACATCACTCCTCCATCACTCCTACAGACCCTACATCACTCCTCCATCACTCCTACAGACCCTACATCACTCCTCTATCACTACTACTGACCCTACATCACTCCTCCATCACTCCTACAGACCCTGCATCACTCCTACATCAATCCTACAGACCCCACATCACTCCTACAGACCCTACATCACTCCTACATCACTCCTACAGACCCTACATCACTCCTACATCACTCCTACAGACCCCACATCACTCCTACATCACTCCTACAGACCCTACATCACCTCTACTGACCCCCACATCACTCCTACATCACTCCTACAGACCTCACATTACTCCTACATCACTCCTCCATCACTCCTACAGACTCTACATCACTCCTACTGACCCTACATCACTCCTCCATCACTGCTACGACCCTACATCACTCCTCCATCACTCCTACAGACCCTACATCACTCCTCCATCACTCATACTGACCCTACATCACTCCTCCATCACTCCTACAGACCCTACATCACTCCTCTATCACTACTACTGACCCTACATCACTCCTCCATCACTCCTACAGACCCTAAATCACTCCTACATCACTCCTACAGACCCTACATCACTCCTCCATCACTCCTACAGACCCTACATCACTCCTACATCACTCCTACAGACCCTACATCACTCCCACATCACTCCTACAGACCCCACATCACTCCTCCATCACTCCTACAGACCCCACATCACTCCTACAAACCCTACATCACCTCTACTTACCCCCACATCACTCCTACATCACTCCTACAGACCGTACATCACTCCTACATCACTCCTACAGACCCTACATCACTCCTACATCACTCCTCCTCGCGCACAGTTGAGCTCTTATGCACGAGGGTAGCCCCCCGTGAGAAGAAGCGAGACCCCCTAAGAGACGTGATTCCCTTCGAAGCGAGACCCCTAAGACACGTGACTCCCTTCGAAGCGAGACCCCTAAGACACGTGACCCCCTACGAAGCGAGACCCCTAAGGCACGTGACTCCCTTCGAAGTGAGCCCCTAAGACACGTGACTCCCTTCCAAATGAGACCCCAAAGACACGTGACTCCCTTCGAAGCGAGACCCCTAAGACACGTGACCCCCTTCGAAGCGAGACCCCTAAGACACGTGACTACCTTCGAAGTGAGACTCCTAAATCACGTGACTCCCTTCTAAGTGAGACCCCCTAAGACACGTGACTCCCTTCAAAGCGAGGCCCCTAAGACACGTGACCCCCTACGAAGCGAGACCCCTAAGGCACGTGACTCCCTTCGAAGTGAGACCCCTAAGACACGTGACTCCCTTCCAAATGAGATCCCAAAGACACGTGACTCCCTTCGAAGCGAGACCCCTAAGACACGTGACCCCCTTCGAAGCGAGACCCCTAAGATACGTGACCCCCTTCGAAGCGAGACCCCTAAGACACGTGACTCCCTTCGAAGTGAGACCCCTAAGTCACGTGACTCCCTGCGAAGTGAGATTCCTAAGACCCGTGACCCCCTTCGAAGCGAGACCCCTAAGACACGTGACTCCCTTCGAAGTGAGACCCCTAAGTCACGTGACTCCCTGCGGAGTGAGACTCCTAAGACACGTGACCCCCTTCGAAGCGAGACCCCTTCAAGTAGGGACGGCAGTGTGGGGGGAGCGTTTGACTCCTGCTAAGAGGTCTGACGCCTATGAACGGCGGACCCTCGTGAGCAGCAGGGCGATGCTACGGAGGGGGGAGGAGGGTGGTGGGAGGCGGTCGTGTGACCCCTGTGAGGGTGGCTGTCCCCCCCTCTGGGGAGAATTGTGAGCGTGACCCCCCCCCCCCCCCGTGAGTCATGGACGAGGAGTCGCCGTTCTCGTTCCGCTCGTTTATGCCTCGCCGAGTCGCGCGACTCGGCTGCAGGAGGGTCCTGGCAGGTTCCCGCGGTGACATGAGCACGACGACGGTGGTGATGATGATGGAGGTGGTGGTGGTGATGGAGGTACGGGTGTCACCCTGCGACCGCCCCCCATACCACCACCTCCTCGGGGTGGTGGTTTGGGCGGGGGGGGGCAGACATCTATCTCTTGTCTCCTACAATATACAAAGTTTTTTTGACACATCCCATTAGCCAGGCGGGCGAGTGAATAATTTCACCCAAGCAGGAGCCACATCGTAAACAGAGAGAGAGGGGGGGGGGGGTCATTTGCGGGGGGCAGTTCCGCAGCACCGGCGAACTCCTGGACTGTTGTCAGCCTCACCGCCCCTCCACGTGCGCAGAGTTCAAACCCAGTCGCTCATTCCCCGCTCCCTGCCCCCCTAGCAGCCCCCCTCGTCTCTATCACCCCACCTCCCCCAGCCTCCGCTCACCTTCCAGCCGGCGGAGCTGTTGCTATCGCCCTTGTCGCTGAAGTAGGGGACGCTCCGAACCATCCACTCGTAGATCTGCGCCAGCGTGAGGCGGTGCTCCGGCGCGCTCTCGATGGCGCTCGTGATGAGGTCCGCGTACGACAAATTCCCCCACGCGTTCCGCCGGGAAGATCCCTTCTTGAGGCCCGCTCCCGCGCACGGTAGCGACGCGCTGCTGGGGCTTGCTCCGTCGATCCCCTCCTCGGTCCCCTCGCTTCCGTCGACCCCCTCGACGGCTCCCTCCGAGCCCCGCTGGCCCGGGTCCCCATCCTTGATCGACAGGTCCGGACGGCGCAGCGGCCACGTACACGAGCGAGGTCGGCTCAGGGGCTCGAACTCGGGGTCGATGTCGATCGGGGGTTCGGCCATGGTGAAGAGAGAGAGAGAGGAAAACAAGGGGGGTTCGTGGGGACCCCGTTGAGTCCCCCCCGAGTGGTGACACCGAAGTCCCCGCGGCTGTGCGAGGCGAGGATCAGCCGCTCCCCGCGGCTCCCATTGGGCCCCCGAGTGAGGCGACTCCGCCCAGGATGGGAGAGTGGAGTGGGACACGGGCGGAGAGACGGGGACACGGGGAGAGACTTTGAGATACACGGGGAGAGACTTTGAGAGACACGGAGACTCCGAGAGAGACACACGGAGACACAGAGATACTGGACTCTGAGAGAGAGAGACTCACACGCAGGCACGGGGAGACGGAGAGATACTCTTGAGAGACACGCGCAGGCACACGGAGAGAGACGCGGAAGAGAGACGAAGACAAACCCGCAGATACAGAGTCGACACTGAAAGAGAGACTCGCAGAGAGACACGGACACAGACTCGACACGAGAGCACAGCGAGAGAGAGAGACAGAGACAGAGATTCAGAGACAAACAGAGATCCCCCGACCACCCCCACTGACCCCCCCCCCCCGCCGCGACCTCCCCCGGCCACTCCGGGTCCCGTAAACACGAACGGAGTTGCGACACGCGGCCCCCTCCTCCCCACGTGTTTACCACCATAACCAACACCAGCAGCATCACCAACACCACCACCACTGCCATCACCATCATAATCACCTACAACACCAAAGGCAAAGATCCCCATATAGCCTCAACAGGCTGTAGGGGCAAGTGCTGTTAGCGAGCACCTATGAAGGCCGGAACGGCACACGAGAGGGTGGGTGGCCAGCACCACGCCCGACCGCCTTTGTCTCCCTAGTGGCGATGTTTACACACCGCACCAGGTACTCATTTGAGGCCGAGTTGACCTAGGGGAGGCCCAGGACTGGTTCAAATATTCGCCACTGTTATTGGTCGTGAGCGGGAATCGAACTTGGGTCTCCGGGTTCGTGGTGCAGCGCGCCAACCACGATACTACTGCTCCCATCATCACCACAATCACCACCATCATCACCACCATCATCATCACCATCATCACCATCATCACCACCACCATCATCATCACCATCATCACCACCATCACCACCACCATCATCACCACCACCATCATCACCACCATCATCAGCATCATCACCATCATCATCACCATCATCATCACCATCATCACCACCACCATCATCACTACCATCATCATCACCATCATCATCACCACCGACACCACCATCATCATCACCACCATCTTCATCATCACCACCGACACCATCACCACCGACACCACCACCATCACCACCGACACCAACATCATCACCACCACCATCATCATCACCACCAACATCACCATAACCACCACCATCACCACCGACACCACCATCATCACCACCACCATCATCATCACCACCAACATCACCACCACCATCACCACCACCACCATCATCACCACCACCATCATCACCACCACCATCATCATCACCACCAGCATCATCACCACCATCACCACCATCATCATCACCACCACCATCATCACCACCACCAACATCATCATCACCACCATCATCATCATCATCACCACAAACATCATCGCGCCCATCGTCGTCACCCCGCCCCGTGCCGGTGATGCGCGGCCTAGCGCGCTAATTGGTAAACAGCGCGAGAGGCAAAAACACGTGGGGGTGGGGGGAGCCCCCCCCCCCTGCCTCTCCTTCCCTTCCCCCCTCAGTCACAATGTGTTGTTTGTAAGTGGCTTTACAAATACCCCACCCACACTGCTGCCCCCTCTCTGTACCGCCCCCCCCCCACACTGCTGCCCTACTCAGTACTACCTCCCCCCACACTGCTGCCCCCCTCAGTACTGCCCCCCCCCCACAGACACTACTGCCCCCCCTTTGTATTGCCCCCCACACACACACACTGCTGCCCTCCTCAGTGCTGTCCCCCACACACACACTGCTGCCCTCCTCTGTACTGCCACCCCATACTGCTGCCCCCCACACTGCTGCCCCCCTCTGTACTGCCCCCCACACACACTGCTGCCCCCCCCCCCTCTACTGCCCCCCTCAAACCATCCTCATTGCGTCCACCCGAGGCAGAGCTGAGCCCCCGTGTCACCCAGCAGCGGTTCGAGCGAGAATCGGTTTCGGCTTCCTGGGTCTCATCATCATCATCATCAGTAATCCAGCCAGCTTAATCTCTGTTTGACAAGTCTGACTCTGCTGCTGATGAGACCCAGCAAAGTCGAAACCTCGTGTTAAACACTTGATGCCGGGCTACGAATGGTGTTGGCAAGAGCACCGCATCCCAGGCGATGGGAACCCTCGGCTCAACGCAACTCGCACTCAGTGTGGGTCAATTAAGTTAAGTGGCGCGGGGCGTGAGTCATCATCAGCCGTGGTCTGTCCACTGCTGGATGAAAGCCTCCCAAAGCCGTCTCCCACAATCCTAATAGTCCACGCGAGCTGTTTTACTGCTCCATCTCCACAGTGCGTTGTCCTCTCGGACGCGTAACAAACAGAATAGTAACAATAACAATGATCGTCAAGTCATCACCAGTGATCATCAGTCTGCGATGAAAGTAACTCAGCACACGAGCTACATTTCATCGCTCCGTCTCCTCGTTCCGTTCGTTGGCTTGCCGCTCCGCTATTATTCCCCACCGCGAGCACGGGAGTGATGCCGTTGTGCCGGCACCGTGTGGAAAACCAGAGTCATCATTTTCCGACCGAAAAGTCCGGAAACTGGGCACTGAGCGAGCGGAAACTCAAGCTTTCCGGCTCGTGTCCGGCTTAGGCGGGAATCGCCGCCTGCCCAGACTGGGTGGTGTGAGGAGCGGTGGCGCAACGGTTAGCGCGCCGCGCTCACGAATCCCGGTCACCCGAATTCGATTTCTCCGCTCACGGCCACCCCAACACCGGTGACGATCGACTGAACAGGTCCTGCACCTCTCCCCCCCCCTCCCCCATCCACGGCCGCCTAGGTCCACTCGGCCTCAAATGACGCTGGGGAGCCAAAGGCGGCCGAGCGTGGTGCTGGCCACCCACCCCCTCGTGTGCCACAGTGCCGGACTTGCAGCAAACGCCTGTCAAGGAGAGACGGGGGGGGATGGTATCTGTGTGCGCGTGCGCCTGTTGTGTTAAAGTCTGTGGTTAATGGTTGTATTAATACCACCGCCGTTTACTGTATCAACAATCCGGCTTGCTGCAATTGTAGCTCACGGCTAACGTCAGTGGCGAATATGCCAATGATTTTTTGCGGGGCTTCCTGTAGGTGGACACAGCCCTAAATGATCCCCCGATAGAGTGTGTCTTCATCCACATCGCCACACCCCTGGGGAGACAAATGCGGCCGGCCGGTGTTAGACGCCTCCACCTCGCGTGCCGTGTTGGTCTTCTTAGGGAGCTCGCTAGCAGCACTTGCGCCAACAGTCTGTGAAGGCTATCCCGGCGTTAGAGGGGGGTGGGGGGTGTCCTTGTTTTTGGTGATGGTGGCGGTGATCATGCGATCCAGCCCGGGGTTGGTGGATCACACGGAGATTTTGTGAAACTCAAAAGCCCCTTGGTCTGTGTGTGTGTGGTGGTGGCAATATACAGGAGGTGGCAGCACAGCAAGTGGGTTCGCGAACCCGTCGATGGTAGCGGAACTGTGGGTGTCTCTCCTCTCGTGAGCAGCGGCGCGGGGCCTTCTCCGGTGTCTTCTCTGAACCAGAACAAAACTCTCAGCGCCGACGAGATTCAAGGCCAAGCAAACTCCGTGTGTCAGGACCCTCCAGAGAGCGAGTCTCGAGACTCGGTGAGGTGTTCCTGTCTTAAGAGACACGCAGACTCACACAGACACCCATAGTGACCTACAGACTCATATCTCTAGAGATCCATGGCTTTAAATTGACCCACAGACACGTGGCGACCCATGGGTTATCTAGATGCACACAGCCTCGCATAGTGAATTACATATCAACCAATGGATTTCCACAGACCCATAGCCTCACATAGAGATCCATAGCCTCAGACATGGATTTAGAGATACAGTCATACCTCGGTATACGACCGCTTTGGAATACGTCGAATTTGGTATACGTCGTGTTTTTGACGAGAAATGTCTTGGGATACGACGTCTTGGGATACGTCTTGCTTGTGATACGTCTTGCTTGTGATACGACGTCTTGGGATACGACGTCTTGGTTGGGATACGTCTTGCTTGGGATTCGACGTTTTGTGATTCGACGTCTTGTGATACGACGTCTTGTGATACGACGTCTTGTGATACGACGTCTTGGGATTCGATGTCTTGGGTTACGTCTTGCTTGTGATACGACGTCTTGTGATACGACGCCTTGCTTGGGATACAACGCGCTTGCTAGAACGTGTATGGGTCTGGATGGGTCACCGTGTATTCCCCGTTCACGACTGAGACAAAGCGCCGCTCCTCAGTCTGCCTGGAGATCTCGTTCAGTGCACAACCCCCTTGCTAGAACTCCGTGAATGTTCACGTGTTTTTTGTAATTTAAACGTGAATTTTCAGCAAGGCACTTAAATTTATGCATTTATTTTAATGTATGTATATGCATTTTAGTACTAAGTAGTGTCTACATTATGTTATACAACCACATTAATGTATAGTATGCCATATAAAATATAATTTCTTATACTCTGGAACGGATGATTTCCTTTCCCTTCATTTGTTACGGGAAAACTTCGTTTGGTGTTCACGTAACTTTGGGTAGAAGGTACCACTGTAGACTCATTTTACATAGAGACCCGATGACTCACACAGAGAGCCACAGACCTCACTCACATACACTCACACAAACTCTGAGTCGTGAAGTAGGCGACTCATAGACCCACAAAGAGACGCGTAGATGTGCATAGAAACCGATGGGGTTTACTCCGAGCCCCATGGCTATACAACAGCGTGACACGGGGATTACGCAGAAACGACACAAAGACTCGCATGGACTCACCACGAAGTTAGAAACAACCTCACGAATGGGATTCGTGGCCAAACAACTCCCCCGCGTCGCGTCAGCCCCTCCTGGGGGCGAGTCAAAGAGCGAAACCCGCGACCACGGCTCACGACTCCTTGGCGACTGTGGCGCCTCTCCCGTGCCTGCTGGTGAACTGCCGGATCGTTTATCGGCAAGGACAGGTTTCGAATGTCGGTGTCTCATCAGCAATTCTGCTGAAATCATGCGGCTGATGGGAAAGTGTTACAAAATTACCTTTAATTGTTTACGCGCAGTGTAACAGATTCGCGAAGGAATCGCAATTGTCGACTGACTGCGAGTCTCGGCACTCGCTACCAAGGAGGGTGGTGCCACGAGTCTGCGATGCTGCTTCTCGACGACTCCCTCGGCAAGTGGAAGAGAGAGGCGGGGAGCATCGGGATGAGTCGAACCCAGGCGACCCACCAAGTCAGGGGGGTTCGGGCACCCGACGGCCTCTTCCCCACTGCGTGAAGCGAGCTCTCGGGAATTTCTCACGGGCTCGAAAATTTAGGGGAGGGGGGG